TTGGATGGTTGATTGGTTAGATAGTTGGTTGGTTGGATGGATGATTGGTTGGTTGGTTTGTTGGTTGGATGGATGATTGGTTGGATGATTGGTTGGTTGGTTGGTTGGTTGGTTGGTTGGATGGTTAATTAGATCAAATCTGTACATTTATATTTTCCATAATCTTGTTTGGCTTTTCCAAACTCAAAAACCTTAATCAAATTCCAGAGTTTTCCAGAGTTTTCCAGGCTTTTCCAGGGTTTTCCATATATTGTCTGCATGCTTAGAAACCCAGTAACCGTGGTTACCGTGGTTACTGTAGAGTGATGCCGGCCTGTTGGATGGTCTGTTCAGTCAGATATGGTTTCCGGAAACAGGAACAGGAATATTGCCGTCTGCTGAGACGGAAACGTTTCTCATTCCCACTGCAGACAGATTACCTGAGTCTGAGCTGCTGCTGATTTACACCAGGTGAGTCAGAGGAAGCAGGTAAATAATCAGTTAGCAGGAAAACCTTCATTTATGACATAACCACTGTTTTAAAACAGATTATTTCCATGGATGATAATAATATAAGCCTTCAGTTAAATGACAGAAACCCGCTGCTAATCACAGCCTTGTTACTAAGCAGCACTTTTTACTTTTACTATGGTAATATTATCAGAAAGTGTCGCTACATTTACTGAAAAGTAACATTTCTGGATCCTGGATGAAGAATAAGCAAGTTTTAATCAAATTTATATGAGATACAAATCTGCAATTTATGTTGAAGTGAGACCTCCTGTTTCTACACCAGCTGTGCTCTGCCAGTAATTTAAACACTGGAAGTACTTTAATCTACCTTAAACTATTAACCTATTCATATATTTATATGATTAGTTACATAAATACTTTAGTGAACATTTGTCACTTTAATTTCAGTTCCATGTATTTGTTTTTTATCTGAATCTGAATTAGTAGTTTTGTGTTTGACTCTTCTGGTCTTTATTAATAAATTAAAAATGCTCCATTGTATGTAGAAGTGAGTATGTGTGCTATCGGTCAGTGCGGGTTTTGACTGGACAGTAGGAAGTAAAGATCACAGTTTAGCCGTTTTAAAAGCAGACCCACACACGTTCTTTCCCTGCTGGTTGGTTTCATTGATTCATGAAGCTACAGACTCACTGAGCTGCTTCTCCTTCACAGCGTTTCTGTTTTAGGGTAATAAAAACTTCTCTGATTTCTAAAGACATGTTGCAGCGAGACATCACACCCCCGGCTTCCTGCTGGAGGACAAAACTGCTAGCCGACGATAACTAGTATTGGTTTCAGCTATTAAGTTGTCAATATAATGCATGCGATGTTAAATGATATAATAAAATAAAAAGGGATGCAGTGCTTTGCTACAAATGATCAATACTACATCAACTAGATAACCAGGTCAGGAAAAGGTTTTAATATAAAATGGTGAAGGTGACGGCACTACGTCAGCTATGCTAGCTTGACTATTACAACCTTAACATGTAGATGTGCTGCAGAATTTGGTGTTTCAATTCAGTAAAAAAAAAAAAAACAGCAACCCAAACGCCAACTCTGATAGATTATCAGTAGAGCAGGTTTTCAAATTAGCTAATCAACCACCGCTGTGTTAGCTTAGCTAACAGCAGCAGGAGCTAATCCACAACAGTGATCACTTATTAATAAACGCAAAATAAACATCAAGCCTAAAAACTGTAGCAGACTGAGTTTCTGTTCTTTGTGTGGGAAATGTGAGTGCGTTTGTTGTTGAATCCTGATATGTTAGGGGAGCTGTTGTCAGTCAGTTGCTATGGCAACGGGTCTGTGTGTAGCGTAGCCAAAAAAAAGAGTGAGAAAAAAGGATAATACGAATAGTTTTGAGTTATTCTTTGGGGATTTTTCTGGTTTTATTTTCCCTATTAAAGATGCAGCTATTAAATTAATACTTTCATCTCCAGGTTTCGTTTAGTTAATGGCTGCAGCAGCGCGGCTCCAGATGGCAAGTAAAAGAATTGTCTTGTTGCGCTCCAGCGTTGTGAGCATGTCCAAAATTTATGCAGTGGTTAGCTTGATTTTTCTATGTGTCTGTTTAAAGTCTAGAGGGCCACATAAGAACTTAAGGCGGCCCAGGTTTGGCCCCCGGGCCTCGAGTTTGACACATGGCTTTAGAAGAGAAGGGCTGCAGAGGCGTGTGAAGTGGAGCCGGTCCTCCAAGGTCATCACCGGGCGCTGGAATGACAGTTATTTCCTCCCTCAGAAATGCCTGGAATCCAGATCCAGAGTTTCCAGCAAACCGCGGAGCTCAAACTGGGCCTCCTGCTGGTTCCGGTCGCTCCCAGCCTGCTTCTGGTTCTGCAGAACTCTGCAGCTTAAACCAAACTCAGTTCTGCAACACAGAGCAGGGAGCTGAGCTCGACCCACGTTGGAAAAAGAAAATGCGTTTGCCAACAGATCCGGACCAAAACCCGGTTCTGTGATTAAAGTACGGTTCTGCTGCAAACGGAGCCGAGAAATGCAGAAGGAAGTCCAACCAGCGGCGTTAAAAATAACTCCTAACTGAAGATGAGAGAACGTCTTGAAAACCCGCCTTTCAACAACAGGTTGAAAACGTGTGATTTCACTTTGAACAACTTTTATTTAAGGAGTTACTGACTTAAACCCAAAAATCTCACTGGAACGTTGTTGGTAAGTTACTTTCATCTATTTCAAGTCTACTGAGATATTTGCAACAGGAACTAGACAAAAAATACTTTCCGTTGCTCAGTCACCGTCGTACGATGGCGTATTTGGGTCATGATTTAAAAAAAGAACAGGAAATAAAATTTTCTAGAAACGAACATGAAAAAGTCAGAAATTTAAATGTTTGTTATGGAAAGTTTCTGGGATTAATCTCAGAAATTTCAGTTTCTTTTTAGCAAATTTTCAACATTGCAACCGCAGAAATTTCTAAATTTTTCTCCAGAAAATTTCCGATAGTAATCTCAAAATTATACATATTCTTTAGTAAATGTTTTGACATTTGAAACTCAGAAATGTCTTCTTTTTCTAGCAAATTCTCAAAAATTCTTTGTTTTCTGGTGACGATGTACTTTTTGTTATTAGAGCCTTCTGCAACACTGTTTATGCGACGTCTGAATCCCACAATGCATTCTGGCTCCGAGCGGCTCCGGATGCCGTCTGGATTCTCTGGAGCCTCCAGGGAGAAACTCAGAGCGAAGTGACAGAAGGAGTCGCTTCTGTCAGGCTGCATGTCAGAGATGAGATGAGGAAAAGGTCAGCAGGAAACCTGCTGACTCGGCAGAAACAGTTCTATCTGGGGGGAAACCAGGAAATGTTCCTGGAGAAACTCGTCTCTCTGCCAGCAGGACCTTCAGGAAAACCTCATTTAAAGAAACCTCAGATGCAAAAGTGACAGGAGGTCTCACTCCTACCTGATTACTGACCCAATAGGTTCTGATTTCTGATCAACTAGAGATCAATACGTCAGAAAATATCCACATCCTGTTTTTTCTGCTTTGTTGCTTTAATAAATTCATCTTTAATTTATTGCTGAGCAGGAAAAATAACTTTTCATGGATATTATTTTCCCTAAGCACTTTCAACGTTCTGCTTTTGGTTCAAGGTTCAAACACAAAATCTTACCAAGTATTTCTGTTTAGTTTTAATGCAAATATTTTATTACACTTGAATTAAGACAAAACTCGCTTACAACCTTTCAGAAACTTGTTCTAAATAAACAATTCCCTAGAATGTACTTTAAAAAGCCCCAGTTCCAGATTATTTCCCTTGTAACATTTTATGGTTTGAGATTATAAGTGAAATAATCTGTTAGCGTAACTAGAACTTATTTTAAAATCAGTATTAAGGAATACTGGTTTCACTGTTCACTGTACAAAGTATTTACTTTTAATGTATATTTTATCTGTTATTATGTTTATTTGGCATAGATGTTCAGGAAGACATTAATGGGAACATTGTAAAATGATTAGTTGTGTGTGTGGAGATTTGGGGACTTCAAAGCTACTGGATGGATTTGCTTTTGAAGGAATTAAATCTATAAAACCGTCAGAAAAGCTTCATGTTGTTTGGCACGCTTCATTTTGAAGTCAAAATTTCACTATAAAAAACTCAGAAATTTGCCAGAAAAAACAAGGACTTTTTTAGATTAGTTTCATGAATTTTCTGTAAAGTTTCAAAAGTTGAAAAATGTTGACTTTAGAAAATTTGAAATTTCCAAGATTTTTCTAAAAAATAACAAAAATTAGAGATTAATCTAAAGATTTCTACATTTTAATTACTTTTGTCTCAATGGCCCTAATACGACTGTGAGTGATGGAAAGTTTTTCTAAACTCGTTTCTGGCACAAATATTTTATTCCACTTGAAATAAGATAAAATTAACGAGCAACTTCCCTGCGAGGCATAAAAGATCGATTTCATTGAATGATTCCTCAAATTTGATGAAAAGGTTCTAGTGATGAGTGAAATAGTCCAGATTTTCCCTTATTGTTAGCCAGGTGAAAGGTGTGTTTTGTGCATTCAGACTCACATCCTCCTCTTCCTCTTCCTCTTCCTCTTCCTCATCAGGCTGTAAGTTAGTTTTAATTTATTTCAAGTGTGCTGGGACATTTGCAGTACAAACTATAGACTGAAATCCTTGGTAAGGTTTTGTGTTTTTTGCAGTGTAACCTGGAGTTTTTTGGGAGCAGTGATGGTTGTAGAGTCGACCAGCTGCTGGGAGGAAGGATCTGTGGTTACACTCCTTTGTGCACCCTGGATGCAGAAATGTTTGAGTGATTGCAGTTAAACACCTCCTGAGTGATCCGCCTTCTCCTTTCCTTTTGTTTTCAGGCATCAGGCCTCCCATCATGAACGGGCCGATGCACCCGCGCCCCCTGGTGGCGCTGCTGGACGGCAGAGACTGTACCGTGGAGATGCCCATCCTGAAGGACGTCGCAACCGTGGCGTTCTGCGACGCTCAGTCCACACAGGAAATCCACGAGAAGGTAACGTCCACACGCTGATGATGCAGCTTTAGAAAAGCCTCCATGGCGTCTTCAGATCGATTCCTCCACATCGGGGTCAAACTGTTTCATGAGGCGCAGGGCATGGCGCGGGGGGCGGCGCTGCTCACCGCCATCATTTCACACTCAGCACAGCTGCAGACCTGCATTATAGATTTATATTATATATTTTACATATCTAAAAACAAAAATTATGCAACTCACCCTGAGAAACAGAACAATATTCCTGCAGACAAATTCTTCTGATCAAGAAATCCTGGGGTTGTTTCCGCTTATATCCAGCTTTTCTTTTTAACCACTGTTCTTAAGCTACTCATGCATTGTTAGTTAAACACAGTCCTTTGATGAGCCAACTGTATTTGACGACTCAAGACATAAAAGCTACTAGGACACATTTACTTTTAATACAGACAATAAGTTATCAGGATATTTTGATTCCTGGGCAAAATTTGATTCTCACTCCTTACCAGTTGGTGGCGATAATGGTCCATTAAGATGTTGGACAATCTCCATTAAACAAAAGACAAAGAGAAAACAGTGTGACATCATCTCCCTAGCAACGGGGTCAGAGTTAGAAGAACAAGTCTGCTTTGAATGCAGCAAATAATCTGTTGATTTCGGTGCACCTGCTGCTGTTTCCTCTGATTTAGGTTGAACTTTCAGGACGGATGCTGGTTCTGTGTGTGCAGGTGCTAAACGAAGCCGTGGGGGCGTTGATGTACCACACCATCACCCTGATGAGGGAAGACCTGGAGAAGTTCAAGGCGCTGCGCATCATCGTTCGCATCGGCAGCGGCTACGACAACATAGACATCAAATCCGCCGGGGAGCTCGGTACAAACCACAAACACCCTCAACTGACCACAAGATTGGTTTCGCTGACAGGCTAACTCCTTTTAGCACAACTTAATCACAACAACAGTCTTTTCCAATCAGACGGTGTAGAAGCAGAAATTAAAACCCAGGGAGCCGAGAGAAGCGGCTTCGTCCTCCATCGATGCTGTCAGTGGATGCAGCTAGTGCGTCAGGTTTACCAGGTTTACACGAATACCAAAGGTTCCAACTCGGGACTTTTGTGTAAAAAAAAAATACTGCGTCTGTGATTGAAATTAAACGATTACAATGCAAAAACATATTACTTGTAATAAATGCCAGTTAAAGTGTAATCTGTTCCAGCGTGATAATAAGAATGTTGTGATGTGTGAGGGACAGTACACAGGGGGCAGGAAACAAATCTAATACTAAGGAATAACCTGGCCTAACAACATAGAAAGAAACTAGAATCACTAAGAAGGCCTGAACTAAAACAAACAGAAACAGGAAAGAGGAAAGGAAAACAGAATAACAAACAACCGAGGACTTACCAGAGAAGTCTGGTTGAAGCTCGTCTTCCTCCCAGCAGCTCCGTGACTCTGCAGACGTCAGCTGGCTCTCCTCCAGAAGCTCACCTTGCTCTCTGCTCCGGCAGGTATAGCCGTGTGCAACATGCCGGCAGCGTCGGTGGAGGAGACGGCAGACTCCACGCTGTGCCACATCCTCACCCTGTACCGACGCACCACCTGGCTGCACCAGGTTTGTAGCTCCGCAGCCCAGACAGCAGGCAGGGAACCAACACTCACTGGGTTTGTTGGAGGTGTGCATCCGCTCACCGCCATCATTATTTACACTATAACTAACAAATAATCTCTGCCAACTGACATATAAGCAAAATTGAAACATTTCATTTTCTTTAGAATGTGGCTGTATTTGAAAGACGTTGATGTAAAGTGTAGAAGGTACAGTAAAATGATTTGTTCCTCAAATCATTGCTTAGACTCATGTGTTGTAGTCTGACAGGACTTAGCTTGTGGTGCAGAGTGAATTACAGCAGGATCACCGTGTGTCTGCGCTGTCCGCTCCGTTGAAGTGACGATGCGTCTTCACCCCCGCCAGGCTCTCCGGGAAGGGACGCGGGTTCAGAGCGTGGAGCAGATCCGAGAGGTGGCGTCAGGCGCGGCCAGGATCAGAGGAGAGACGCTGGGACTCATTGGGCTCGGTGAGTATCCAAACTGGTGTCACGAACTGGTCCACATCAGTTCAGGCCTTTTCATTTCGTACAGGACAACTAATCTGCCCGAGCAGAAAGGCATCGTTGAAGGAAAGTCAGGAGAAGTCAGATTAGTATAAGATTTGGAGGAGAGCAAACTCAAACTTTTTTACCTACATGCTAAAAAGCTTGTTGCTCAGAAAGACAATCCTGTATAAGACACTTACAATCTAGACGTAACAAAGCGGATGTGTTTGTAGGCCGGGTCGGCCAGGCCGTCGCCCTGCGAGCCAAGGCCTTTGGCTTCAACGTGATTTTCTACGACCCATATTTGGCCGACGGCGTAGAAAGATCCCTGGGGCTCCAACGGGTCACCACCCTGCAGGTAAACCCAGCCGGCCTTCATGTCTACCTTTCTGTGCCTTCAGATCAATTAAATGGAGGATTCCAGTAAATGAGATTAAACCTCATTTACAGTTCTGGTCAGAAAGCTTTAGAAACATCTGAAGGGCCTGCAGGCAGCAGGTCCTGCAGTGTAAATGTTTCCATCTATTACTGAGTGACATTCTGATGGGGATTTATCATCTTCCTCCTCAGGACCTTCTCTTCCACTCTGACTGTGTCTCTCTGCACTGCAGCCTCAACGAGCACAACCACCACCTGATCAACGACTTCACCATCAAACAGGTACGCCGAGCCCAGAGGCCGGCAAGGCCATCAAGGAAGCTCATAAAGTCGCATCAAGCCCGGGCTGAACGGTGTGTGTGTCGGCGTGTGTGTGTTAAAGATGCGGCAGGGGGCGTTCCTGGTGAACACAGCCAGGGGGGGCCTGGTGGATGAGAAGGCTCTGGCTCAGGCTCTGAAGGAGGGCAGGATACGCGGGGCGGCTCTGGATGTCCATGAAGCAGAACCTTTCAGGTATTACTCTACTGAGCAAATGCTTCATCAAGCTGTAAGAGAACTGGCTTCGTTGAGCATCAAATCATTCTCCAGAAGACGTTTGGGTTTTCCATCTACCCAACAGCAAACTGCAATCCAGCTTCTTTTGTTGATATCATCTCAGTCCAGAATAAAGTGTTGAAGTGCTGCTGCTCCAGATTCTGATGATCTTGATCCTTTGGTTGTTCTTGAACTTCCTAAACAATTTGAGGGAGACGGTTTGGGTCAGAGGTTTGGCAGTTCGAACAGAACCATGATCCCAAACAAACATCTAACCTGGATAACCAAGGCCCACACTGAGCCGGCGGGTCAGCAGCGGGACACCATCTGATTTCAGTAAACTGTAACGTCTCTGACCAGAAAGATGGCGGAAGCTTGTTGGTTTCTCTGAAACTTTAGGGACATTTGTCCAAATGTTAGTAGGGCTGAGTGTATGTAAAGTTTTGACCTTGTGTGGATTAGAGAAAACCCACAACAAATTGTTGCATTTAATTTTTGCATTAAAAGTCCCAGATCAGTATCACACCTAATGCTGATGACGGTTTTCTTTCTGTGTGAATCCCAGTTTGTCTTCTATGTTTGAGTTAAATGATAAAGTAACTGGACAGAGTAATTTCCTGCAGCTGATCTGAAGCGTACCGTTTGTTGCTGTGGCAGCTTCAGTCAGGGTCCACTGAAGGACGCGCCCAACCTGATCTGCACGCCGCACGCCGCCTGGTACAGCGAACAGGCATCACTGGAGATGAGAGAAGAGGCGGCGAGGGAAATCCGGAGGGCTGTGACAGGTTGGTGAAGAGTCAGTGACCAAAGGACACATTTTAGAAGTTCCCTTATCAGACAGACAAAACAGATTTGTTTTGCTGATCCTTATTTGTTCATTTTCAGGTCGAATCCCAGACAGTCTGAAGAATTGCGTGAATAAGGAGTTCCTCTCACCCAACAACCACTGGGCCGTCGACCCGGCTGCGGTCCACCCTGAGCTCAACGGCGCCTACAGGTACTGGCTGGCGCTGGGGCGGGCAGGCTGAGTTATCGGCAAGAATTGGAGATGATCCAACATCTAGCTTATCAATACATGTAGCTGCCAGGTTAGGCCAGCAGTGCTTCGTTAAAGTATTTATACACTTTACTGTATTTTACTGGATTTTATGTGATCAACACAACTCAAAGTGGTTTTACACCTGATCGGCCAGTAGACTCAGTTCAATAAGGGACCAAATTCGCCATATTTGTTCCACCTCCAGCTGCTGCCGTTCTTTTTCTCACTGCAGTCAAATGATCCAAACTAATTGGAAAACCTGTTCCCCTCCTGGCCTGTGGGGGCGCTGCACCAAGAACCACTGAAGGAAACGACACAAAAACCTCTGAAGACACTGAGAGCAACTTCCTTCTTCACCAGATGGAAACAAGATGGAGGCGTCAGATTTTAGCAGTTGGAGGATTTCTCTTTAGTCTTTGGCTAAAGACCAGGAGCCATTTCTGCTGCTAGCGCTAGGCTAGCATGTTAGCTTTGGTTGTATTTACCCAGAATGCCCTGCACTGTAGTTCACTTCCTGCTTCTGGAGCGATCTCTGGTCCACTTGGTGTTCACATTCAAACCGAACCAGAGTTCACTTCAACCAAACCCAGCCTGAGGTTTGGAAGACCAGAGGTCAGAGGTCAATTAGCACTCACACCTCACCAACCGGACCGAAGCTTCAAGGCAATCGGACCAGAGTGGGGTAAAGCGGACTGAACAGGGATGATGTGAAAACACTCTTAGTACATATATGTGAAGTGAAAGGAAACAGATACATGGTTTTACAGTTTTTATGAATAAAAAGCATAAAATGTGGCATGTGTTACTAAAACCTTCGCAGGCAGTAGAGACTCACATGCTGGACTCTTGTCCTTTGGGAGCCATCCCATAATATCTCTGGCTGCATGTTTAAGGGGGCTGTCCTGTTGGAAGGTGAACCTCCAGCCTCAGGTTTTCTGATTTATCTCAATCTAAAGTTCTCCAAACAGATCAGCTGTTACTTCCATCACTGCTCTGCGCTGGTCTGTCAGGTCTCTGTAAAATCCACTGAGCTGTGTGAACAGTTTTGCCCCTCCTGCCCCTCAGGTACCCCCCCGGGGTGGTGAGCTTGCCGGCCGGCGGCCTCCCTCCGCCCGTCGAAGGCATCGTCCCGAGCGCCGTGCCCATCACGCACACCCTCCCGCCCGCTGCCGCACACCCGCCCCACGCGCCGTCTCCCGGACAGAACACAGTGAAGCCACCAGAGGGCGACAGAGAGCAGCACCCCAACGACCAGCTGTAGCCTCTCTGCACACAGTTCAGGTGCCACCTGCCTCCCAACAGGCAGGTCTCCCTCCCAGCTGGAGCAGGACTGATGCTTTACTCAACAACCCAGAAAGTTCCTCTAAACCAACATCTGATCGTTGGTGCCTCAACAGAAAAAATGGAAACAATTTTAAATTGATTTGGGGGGGAAAAATAATCCAGAAAATCTTTAGGCTGTTGGTGTCCAAAGTTAGAGGGTTTCATGTGTTCTGTGTCTTTTCCTTATTTGATGTGAAAGCAAAGTTATTGGGTTTGAGATGAATGTAACCTGCCTGTGAACAGATTTTAGAACATGATGATATTTGTATTCCAGTCTTAACAAAAACTGGTTTAAAAATACAATATCTCGTTTTCTTTTTATTTGTCCCTAAATTAGCAAGGCCCCAAAAAAGAGGCAGCTTTTTGCACACCATCTCAGGAACCTACGTTTCCGCAGTTGGTAATCTAGTTTTTCTAACATTTTTCTTTTCTAAATAGTTTTTATGCCACTCAGTGCTTTTGTTTTTCTACCTGCTTGCCTTTCCGTGTCCCGTTGCGTTAGAAACGAACAACTTTAGTGAGATATAAAGTTGATCTAATGCTTGTTTCTGTTGGTTTTGTTTAAGGAGCATGTCTCTTTGCTCTGGGATTGTGTAAATGTTTGAACCGAAGGCGTAATGGGAGGAACGTTTAGGAGAGGTGGTGAAATGGTAAACATGCTGGGACCTGTTGATTCTGTTGTTTTCATTCATGGGCTGACGAGGCGACAGACTGAGACCGATTAGAAACATGGTTTATTTTTAATAATTCACCTATTCTGGCAGCAATTCTGCTCCTGTTCTGACCAGCATTATAACTTTGATGCAGGAATGACATTTTGTCAACCAGAATGACCAACACTATGCTAGGCTACGTTCACACAGATAATCCTTTCACCCCAAAAAGTACAATTTGTTCCACTTCCATACGTGGATCTAAATTTTTACTGCCGTAAACAGAGCGCCGCGGCGGCCATCTTTACTGCCATAAACTGAGCGCCCAGGCGGCCATCTTTACTGCCGTAAACAGAGCGCCCAGGCAGCCATCTTTACTGCCTTAAACAGAGCGCCGCGGCGGCCATCTTTACTGCTGTAAACAGAGCGCCGCGGCGGCCATCTTTACTGCCGTAAACAGAACGCCGCGGCGGCCATCTTTACTGCCGTAAACAGAGCGCCGCGGCGGCCATCTTTACTGCAGTAAACAGAACGCCGCGGCGGCCATCTTTACTGCCGTAAACAGAGCGCCCAGGCAGCCATCTTTACTGCCTTAAACAGAGCGCCGCGGCGGCCATCTTTACTGCTGTAAACAAAGCACTGCTGGGCGACATCTATCTTCTGCACATTTGGATCATCATGCGCAAAAAAGTCTAGCTTTGGTCACTTTTAATTAGCAGCATGAATGATCATGCAAAAAAAAGTCGGATTTGCGCATCGAGACCTGCTGAGAGAACGTAGCTGTGGCGATCTGTGCAGTCTCATTTTTTCCACATAATTTATCCATGTTTTAGCCCTGAGGGTTTAACTCCATCACAAATCAAACTCTGAATCGGTTTTCCCACGACAACACTTAGCTTAGCTTCAAATTTCACTACAAGCTAGCAATGCTAAGGGTAGGACACTCAGATGAAGGCGAACGTTCTTCAAAGAGAAAAACACAAAGTCAAAGCTGCAGCTGACAGTTTGGAGAGTCAATACTCTTAACATTAGAAGATGTGAAACGTGCCATAAAAGAAAGCTTTTTGCCATTTGATTGACTTTATGCTCACAAACAACTCCTTTCGTGACTTTCTGTCCAAGCTGCATCATGAACAGCATTTTGTTTTCTCTCTTTAGCTGTCAGTTGGTTTTTCTCTTGAATCCTGAAGCAGAAAATGTTTCAAACAGTGAAACTTTTCTGAGGAATAAAATCTGCCTTCTTGGCTCGTTTACGTCTTCACCCCACACCTAGCTTAGCATATTCACCTTAAATAGTTTGGTTTTCTGTCTACAACAGAAAACATCATCCATATATGGAAGTGCTTCCTGTTTTACACAAAGGGGTAGGTTTTTAAATTACTTTTATATTTTTTAAGAACAGAAAAGGCCAGTTATGATTTATTTCGCGTCTTTTATTTTGTATTTTCGGGTTTCCTGGCTCTAAACTATGACTCTGTTATGCACTTTAAGTTGATTCCTCCACCTCCAGGTCCTGGGACGGTTACTGACAGTAAAAACGGTTAAACTTGGGTATAGATGAGAAGATTGTTTTAACGTCTCGAGAAGAAACGCCTCCCGCTTTCCACAGACATGAGCACAGAGGAGCGGAGGCGTTTCCTCCGAGCGCCTGAGATTTCCCTTTAACATCAAGCCGGGCCTTCCCGTTGCTACCATTTAACCACCTGCTCTCTTCATGTGTACATACTGTGTTCTGCTTGCCTGCTGTGTCAATGTGACTTGGTTATTTCTGTGTCTAAAGCAGCGCCGGTAGGGGGGGCAGTAAATTACCCAGCAGTCCTTTCTGCTCCCCCCCTACCTGCAGCTGAGTAGTAAAAACAGTTTCCTGTTGCCTACCTGGTCTTCTTCATGGTGAGGCAGCGAGCGTCGCAGCCAGGGATGGACATTTCCACCGCGGAGCGTTTCAGGCTGTTAGGGCGAAAAATGTTTGATTACAAGAATAAAGTCAAAATAACGTAAGAATCAAACATTATTTTATTCTTACATTATGACAGAAAGTAGAAATAATATGAGAATAAAGTCGTATTGATACGAGAATAAAATTGCATGTCAGTCATAATGTGAGAATGAAATCAATAAAATTATGAGACTAAAGTCATTATAATACAATAAAGATGTAAAAATACAAGAATACAGTCATAATAATACAATAAAAAGTCACAATTCAAGAAGAAAGTTGCACATCAAACATTCATAATATGGAAATAAAATAAACCTGCAACATTATGAGAACTGAAGTCGTAATAATACGACAAATAAAGACATAATACAAAATGTCATATAATAAAGAAGTCAACATTATAAAGTTGTAATAAAAAATAAAGGAATTATAGTTTGAGAATAAAGTTGTATGACAAAAAATGTGAGAAAAAGTTGTAATATGAGAATAAATGTAATAATTTGAAAACAAAATTGTACAACAAAAAATATGATACAAGAAAAAAGCCATATGAGAATAGCCATAAAAAAGTCATAATATTCGTAGAATAAAGAAGTTACTTTACCTGAAAAAGGATTAAAAACAAGAGGAAAGTTGAGCATCTTGACGTTATACTTTATCAGTTTTACAAATAAGGAGAACCTTTATTTTTAACACATCAGCATTAAATTATCATCAGTGGCTGAACTGAGCTTAGAACCGCAGATTTTAATCACTATCAAAGTTTTGCTTTTGTCTAAAAACTTTCCATCTTTCTTCTGGTATTTTTGTGTCTTTATTCTCATAATATTCTGACTTTATCCTCGTGATTCTGAACAAAAAGATAAAAACCTCGTCGTCTGGCAGACTGAAGGTTCTGGGCTGACTCGGTTCTGGTTCTTCTGACACAAACTGCAAACATTCCTGGTCCAAACCGACGGATCCGGCGGTTCCCCTGAAATGCCATCCCTGGCGGGAGCGCCCCCTGCTGGTGACGTAGTAGGCGTAGCAATATTCAGTCCACATATTAATCTATATTCTACAGTAAATATCATTATTTTTGGTCAAACGATGACAACTCAAAGATATGTTTGTGACTGTATGCATTTGTATGAATTATTTTAAAAGGAAATAAACTGTGGAAAGGTGACGGCTGGTTTCTGCGTTTAGCTGTTAGCATCAGAAAAACTTTATTAAAATGCATCTCCAGGTGGAGGATTTCCATTTCTCTACTTTTAAAAGCTGAACATTTCTGAAGCTCTACAGATGAAACTGTTTGGATCAAAATAAACTCGCTTCCTTATTCTGTTGCTAAATTAGAGCCGATAATTTACTGATTTCTGTCCAAATGAAGGAAACGGCTAACATGTTCAGATGTTCGGGGTCAGCAGAAAAAGACGAGCAAGTAATTTGAGTCTTGATTTATTCTCAGACTCTTCCAACCAAAACCAAAAATGGAAAGAAGGACAACCGTTGGCGTCTTCTCACCTTCACAATAAAAGCATTCATTCGGGTGTGAAATATATACATTGGATCTGAATAAATACTTTTAGAACTGGCATTTTTTTATTAATTTACTGAAAATATGAATTTCTTTAGATAATATTTTAATTTGTTGAATCATTTGATGACTAATTCATCCAATAACGTTTTATTTTCGGTAATAAATCCTGATTAAATCCTGTCCAGTTTCCCCGCGTTAGTTCCGTGTCTCCACCAGGGGGCGCCGTTCCTATGTAGACTGATGCAGAACTGCGTCCAGCTTTACAGATAAAACTTGAGAAATTCTGATTATTGATCTTATAAACACGAAATAATTTAAAACATATTAATAAGTGATCAGATTTTATGTTCTTATTAACAGCATAATAAATGTAACAAACCAACAGATGATTTGACCTTCTACTCATTTAAAAGTTTATATATATATATATATATATATATATATATATATATATATATTTGATGGTTTAAAAAGCAGCAAGTCACTTTGAAACTCCAACCCAGCATTCAAGGTCTGTGTTCAAACTTTAAGTTTCAAATCACAACCAAAAATCAAAACATGAAGAAGTCAGAAAGTGTTTTATTTGTTTTAATCACGTGTTGTTTTTCAGTTTCATATCGAGAACAATAAATGAAAAAATTACCATCAGACAGAAAAAGACATTTATTAATCAGACCGGAGGCGGTTTGGTGAATTTATATCCAGATTTCCAGTTTATTTTGCAGAAACGTCCTTTAAACGTGCGACAGACGGGAACATCGGACGTTCATGACTGCACATCGTTTTTGCAGGGAGAAAAGATTGAAAGTATGGAAAAAGTTGGTTATGGGCAGAAGTAAGAAATAAACGTATTACGTTAGATTTTAGTTAAATATTTATCTTTCTCAGGACTTTTCACTTTTTAAGATAAATATCTGCACTTTTACTAATTATATTTTCACATATGGCTAAATGAGATTTGGTGTGAATGAAAACTGGAACTTATTAAATATTT